ACAGTGTGGAATTATAATAAACTAAAAAGCCACAACAGACCTTTTTATTACTCTTCATCCTACTCATTGGGAGGACACATTTTAGGATGATTCTGCCTAATTGCTTAGGCAGACAACACCAAAAACTGTTTAGAGGAACAAACTTGTTTATACACTGACATGGATGTCGAAAGACTTGTATATATTGCAGTTTCATCAATTCTTGGATATCTTTAAGGTTTGGTTGTTGATCCACAATACAAATTTGTCCAGTACTTTAAACTAAGTGCTGTTTAACAACAATAAAGTATAAGATCACATAAAGCAAGCATTTTCTCTGCTAACTTACTACAACCCAAACAGAACTGCACAGTCACAACCCATTTTGTTGAGAGCCATTGTTTGTTAATTTCCATAAGGCACAACAAATTGTTTTGGATAGCTTTTACAAGCAACATGTAAGTGGCACATTTTTAAAATTAATAAGTTAATTTTAAAAGAAATAACAACATTCATGCTAAATGTGAGTAGAGCAGTTCTGGCTAGCATCAGCATAGCTGCAAGAAAAGATTAAGCACTGAGACAATTTTTTTCTGTGCACTGAATGCCGAACTACAAAAGTACTACAGAAAATAAAATGAGAATGCACTGTAAATACATTTATCAACACCATGCTGCAATGTTATTGCAATATTATTGTCCATTGAGTTGCACTGAAAAAAACAAACACTCTGTTTTCAGTAAATCTAACTGAATCTAAGTCAGAATCTAAAATTGAAGCAATTCATGGCTCAAATGCAGTGAAGGCAATTAATACACAGAGATGCACAACAGGTAATAATTTAGCAAACAGAGATGTTCCAGAAAGTATGTTCTCTAAGCTCTTAATTGATTTAACCAAACTGCTTATTTGCAGTTCCAAAAAATGTGGTTCTGAGTTAGATCAGTTGAAACTGAGGTAAAAACTCCACACTTGCCCACAGTAAACACAGAAACAGTGTACTGAATGCAGGAGTTACTATGGAAATGGATGCTAGCTGTGCAGAACTTTAGTGAACAATGATAAAATAATCTGCACTTGCGAGGTAAATACCTAAATATCTCTATGGTCTCCAGGGTTCGTTGCAGGTCAGCCCACATATAAACACTGAAACCTGGCCTTGGTGTCCTGCTGTGGGTTTGATTAAATTTTGCCTGTGCTGCAGGGTCAGGGAAAAGGGCAATATAAGCAAAGTCAGCATTTGTCTTCCTTTAACCCCTTAGCTATCAAAGATCGGCGACGGCCCCAGATTACTGTTGTTTCCCTTTAACAGCACGTTAAAACATCACACTCTTACTTGATCTGGACAAACTGTGCATCAGTAGAAAGATTAAAGACTCTAGATTCGATATTTGACCACTGTTTTGATAAAGCATTGTTGCAGTGACAGTAATTTACTAATTTATGTCTGGAGTGTAAAATAATAAATCCCTATGTGTCATATTTAGAATAGAAATTCACCACACATTCATATTCAGTCACGTCTGCAGCGGTTTATTTGTGTTCACATAGCTTCATGAACAGTGAAAATAAGGGCTTATTGTCCAAAGATATATAGATATATTTACTCATGTTTACTTCATATTTCTTCAGACAGAATCATAATTTCTATTCATTTTCCACTGATTTATGCGGTCTGATGATAATTATCCACTCCCTGGGCTGTCTGTGTGTTCACTCATCCGTGCTGGCGCTGTGACTGACAGAGACCCGGGGCCTCATTTATAAAATGTGCATACGCACAGATTTGATCTTAGAGTGTGCGTACGCTAAAATGCACGGCAACGTTCATATTTATAAAAATGGTCTTTGACGTGGAAAAGTACTTACCGCAAAGTCAGGGTCTGAGCAGGCGTACGCACTTTTCCTTGTGGCAAAGTCGGAGTATTGCAGCTATTTAAACATCTAAGCTGCAATAAAAATGAAAGCGATGTACATGCAAGCACCGAATTCATCATAAACAGCAAAGATGCAGTGTAAGAGATTAATTGCGCAGTGTAGTCAGATTTTTTATTAACAGGAGTTTTTGCAAGATTAAACTGACCTTTTTAGTAGCCTAATGTTGAGAGTTCTTTACTCGCTTTCTGTACACAGTTTATTCCATGTTGTTCTTTTTATTATTTTATTTTACAAGAGAACTCACGAAGTCTTGATTTACTACTAATGCGTAAAATAGAAAAAATAAAATACATAAACGCAACTCCGACTGTTTTGTCTGTGTAAGAATAGGCCTATGTCGTGCAATAACGGTTTTAATATATTCTTGTAACAGTGGTGGTAAAAAAAACTCTTTATCAATACTTTTGTTCAGGCGCCAGACAGGGTTTTAAACCTGTCAATAAATAAACTCCAGATAACTCATTAAAACCATCAAAGTACATAAGAAGATCTTGAAGTGGAAATTAATCAAATTAAACTTTATTGAATTTATTAAACCGCAAAACCACGGGTCAAATACAACAAAAATGTTCTGATATAATCAAGACACGTTGAGTCAGTTTTACATTTCAGTTAACCACACCATATAAACGAAAAATAATAATAATAATAAGTTCAGAAACCCGGCTTGATTAAGGTTGATGCAGTGCCGTTTTCTCTATGCCGATTTCGCTTCCATGAAACCTTAAGTTTCAGACACAATGGAGCCCCTCCCTACACCCCAACATGAGAAAAGAGAATAACTTACTCTATAACTTAGCAAACCCATAACTATTAGAATTTACAACTCAGTTTCCCTTTCCCACATTTTACACATTAACAAAGATAAAAAAAAATAAAAAAATGTATGCATATGTGTAACTGGTTTGTTTGTATAACGTGCATAGCGTGTGTGTGTGTGTGTGTGTGATGTGCGTGCGTCAGCATTTTTAGAAAGAGTACATGGTGTTTGTATAGTGTATGCATTGTGCTTGTACCGTGTGCAGCTGGTCTTCAGCTTGGAGCATTAGGAGTACAGGTGGACAACAAGAGCTTTTTTGTTCAGGCGCCAGACCGGGTGTTTTAAACCGGTCAATAAATAAACTCTGGATAACTCATTAAAACCACCAAAGTACATATGAAGATCGTGAAGAGGAAATGAATCAGATTAAACATACAATACTTTGCATATGCAAATTTATTACCGAGCATTAGGAGTACAGGTGGACAACAAGAGCTTCGTTCACAGCACAGACTAGAAGACCGGCAATATGGCATTATCCAGGGCACGCATCTCCCTTCAGTAAACTGTTCACGTCCTTCACCTCACTCTCCTACTTCCAAACAGACTCACTTTTCGCAACGTAGCACGCGCTACTCCCACCTCATCACATCTCCGCAGCAGCGAAATTTTGCGCACTTCCGTCATGCATGAACCAGGTCATAACCCTCCTTAAATAGTTTGTCCCTAATTATCCGTTTGTTCTGATTTGTCCACAATGTAAACAATCACGTGGCGACAGGTTTCCGTTCCGCCACACTCCCCCCTCCATGAAAAAAAAAACAACAACTCATAGTTGTTAACTTTTTGTGGTATATTAAAACCCCAAGAAATCTTCTTCCTCATCAGAGGTGTCCTGGAAGATCTCCTATATTTTTTTCCGGCTGTGAGATTCTAATTCTTCGTAGGGAAACAAGGTTTAAAATTACATACATGTGCATTACGCACATCCTCTCCTGTGGACTCTAGGGCAACTCTATAGTTTATTGGACCCAACTGTTGGATAATACGATACGGACCTATCCACTTCGGGGCTAACTTGGCACTGAAATGGTGGCACTAATTTGACTGTGGAAAATTACGGACCCATGCTCGATCTTTCTCATGAAAAAATGTCTCGTCTATTTTTGTTGTAATTTCTTAACTGTCTGATCTGTGCCTTCTTGCAGTTCTCCTTGGCCTTCCTTTGAAGTTCTGACAACTGGTACACAACGTCATATGAAGGACCAGAGGGGGCAAGATTGCATCCATGCAACATTTTATCTAACGGGCTGTGGATTTTCCTGCCCAGATGAAGCTCTGCAGGTGACATACCAATGGATTCCTGAACTGCGTGGTATTGATGGCAAAACGCAGTTCTGGTAAGTGGTGATCCCAACTCCTATAATTGTCTTCCACATGTGCAGGTACCATTGACTTCAAAATGTAGTCAGGCACACCCCATCTGGTAAGTATTTCTTTCCTCAGGATTTCAGCGATGACTGGTGCTGTGGCACATCTCAGGAGAAACAGCTCTAGCCATCGGGTAAAGTAGTCTACAAAGACGAGCAGGTATTCATGTTGTTTGGAACTTTTGGGTAATGGCCCCATGATATCTACTCCAAGCATCTCACTCGGTCGTGAAGTGATGATGGGTTGCATTTTACCGGCAGGCTTCCTATTGTCACTCTTAAGAGTTTGAAATTTGACGCAGTTCTTGACATATCTTTTTACGTCAGTCCACATACCTTGCCAATATACAACATCTTGCACTCTTTTGTAGGTTTTGAAGACACCAAGATGACCACTCAACGGATTGGAATGGTAATATTGAAGAAGGGTGGATACCAGACTCTGAGGAATAACTACCCAGTAGTGCACTGCATGAAAAGCCAGATTTTCGTCCCTGTGGATGCCTGATGACTTCTCAAATCACTGACAATTATTGACAGTTCACAGCCTGGGAAGTTCCCGTTTGCGGGTGCCAGAAACAGTTGGAAACATACCATTTGGGGGAGGGAGGGCAGGTGTGGGGAGGGGTAGGGGGATGCTGGCAGAATGGTTCTGATTAGCATATGAATGCAGCCACCTCAACTGCCACAGTACCTATTGGATGAGACTTTTAAAATAGGAAGTTGTGATTGGCTGACATATTTGCTGCTATTGGTCCTTATAATACCTTTTTGAGTAAACCCCTCCCTTATTATTATATATATAGTACATATGCATATATTAATATGTATCAAAATATGTGTCATACAGGCTAATATTGTATAGGCCATTCATGTAAATTATTTAATGGACAACAATACAGACTAACATAGGATATGCATGAACATTAGGGAAAGAAAACAAACATTTGGGACATGTTGATTAAATAAAAGCACTTTATTGATAAACAATAGGTAAAAACATGCGCACACACACACAAGCAAGTTTGTCAGTTAGCCAGAGGCTACAGTCTTGGATAGGGCATCATACGTGGCTTGGCTTCATGTGCTTTTTTGCCGCCTCTGAGTCATAAGTTTGCAGTGACAATCTACCAGAAGGTAATCCACCCCGCAGACGCTGGTGATGCAGTGCTGCATGCTTTGTAGTAGCTTCCAGTCTTGCTTGCAGAGTGGAACACAGAATGCTGAGCTCCTGGCTGCGGAACGATGGAGTTCTCACAACCCACCCCGACACTCCATCAATAGTACCGTCTTCTTCATCAGACATCATGTCAGCAGTGATGCCCCTCCAGAAGTCCACCTCGTCCGCAGCCAGTACACTCTGCCTAGCCTCCAACAGCTGTACACACAATTGCTACATATAATCAGTACTAAGTACCACATCGTTACAGTGTATGCAACAGAAAAAATACAACAGAAACTAATGATTCTAATCCCGTCTTACCCTCTTCCTCCTCTGGCGACTCCGGGCTAAGGTCTTAGTAGATGCAGCCACACTGACTAGCTCTGATTGGCTGTACCGGAAATTTCTGTGCAGAGTTTCATAATATATGTCTTGCAGGCCACTATAAACAATTAAAGAGATGTGTTAAAAACAACACCAAAAACAACTATTCAGAAATAATCATAATAGAGGGGAAACATTAAAAAAAATTACTTACCAACAAAGGCACTCTTATCTAGACCTTCATCAGTCAATTGCGGGCTTGCAGCCAGGGTTCAAGCTAAAAATGAGGTGACCATCTCAATATGTGGTGAGTTCAAACTGTGGAAACAAAATGAACTAAATTAAAATATGTACAAATGCACAAATGAATGCATGCTAGCCTGTATTTTTCAGCCTTACCCTTGCTCCGGGTCATAGCGTCTACAGTTTGCTTGTGATTTATGTAGCCGACGGACTGCCTCCTACAAATTGCAAGAAAAAAATTACTCCGTGAACAAACTAGTGTCGAAACACTTTAAGTGATTTCATTTGGGGAATTAATTCTTACCGCAATTTTGGGATTATGCAGACGCCTCTTCCTTTTGTATTCCTCCGTCGAGCAGCTTCCAAAGACTGCAATCTATCGTTGATAGAGCTAAACTCCCGGGAGACATCGGCAGAGAACTCAC